CATCAATAAATTGATGGTAAATATCACTATACTATAAAGTGACTGTATTCTTAATTCAACATTAAAATAATGAAGGTGGGTTTTGTTAACGAATATTTCTGTAATTTACAGATATTGAGACAGACAAGAGTGTTATGTATGGGTTGCCATCAGTAATCACACAGACAACGTTATTATATGTTTACCAAATGCTAATACAATACGGATGACCGTAAAATTATTTTTGTGATGGGCGCGGCACCAAAATGTGATTACTCCAGCCACATTTTTAAACGATATACTTCTGAGTGAAAACATAAAAAATTAATAAATTAATCAATAAAGTAATTTAAAGTAATTATGTTTCTTTTATTGGCCCTCAGCATATTTTTGTAATAATTTCTGATGAATTATTAAAATATTGACAGCTTCATTCTCCATCTGGTTAAACAATGTTGTTTTTCGGTATATTTTCAGCACATGCTTGCTATTATTGAATATTTTTTACTATTATGTAGACATTTAGTTTTCCCAATTAGTTAAAAATTATGTTCATTATATAGATTACACCAGCAAAACACTTTTTATACTTATTTTTGTTTTATTTTTAATTAAATTCAAATCGAAATATCTCATTAACCCAACTAGCTTTCGAATTCAATATAAACTGGCAGTATACATTAACAATAAGCTTTAAAATGGTATATATTTTGCCACTGCACAAAGAACTTGGTACCAATCCCGCATACAAAGTGGTTCTTCTCCTTTATCCGGGAAATTAGTAATAGATGAAAAGTATCCTATGTCTCAATTCAGGTCATAAACTATATAGATACCAAATTTCATCCAAATCCTTTTAGTAGTATTTGCGTGATTGAGTAACAAACATATAAACACACAAACATTCACGTATATATAAATAGTAGGAAGTAGGATAGTACTTATTACAAGCATAGGTATAATATATCTTAATTATCGTATTGATCACGGTATAGCCTAATCTAATTGAATACGAAGTATAAGTAATAGTTAAATTATATAGGTTTATAAAAACAAACATTATGAACTATGGCATTGGTAAAGGTACTAAGATATTTGATGGCTTCTCTATCAATGAGTTCAATATAAGAGATACGTATGTACATAGAAATCCGTAACTTTCTTTTTCCCCGGAGCATAAAACAATCTAAACTTGACCAAGGGTCTCTATATTTAAAGTTATATTTCCTTTTTTTTACAAACGTATCATTTCCAAAACAAGCGTTTGAATAATAGATAGGTACGTTACCAAGTGGTTGATATTTTTAAACAGATTTTTTAGAATACTCTGTAATTCCAAATTGTAATTTACTTACGTAGAGCACTCGGTTGGAACGAAGTAAAAAAAATTACTATAAGTTGAGGGAAACTACCAAAGAAAATTAACTTATCCGTAACTCCCTCCGAGTTACTATAACAAATCTATTATGGGTGAGTAAAAATTAGCATAAAGAAAATACAATGAAAAGGAGAAAAATAATAAAGAACTACCAACCAAAACTACCATGGGCGAAAGAACAACCATAGGAAACTACCGTAAGGTACCACCATAGTGGGAGAAAACAACCATATATGGAAGGAACACACTTTAAAAAACGAAATTTCGTCAAGATAAAAATTTTGCGCCGAAATAGCGTTATACTCGTAATAGCTCAATCAAGCAATTCCTTCGTGACGGAAAAATCTTACACTTTATTCGCCTAGCCTCTACCCGCCTCTCCCTTCCGAAAAATGATTTAAAACCTAATATACGCTTTAGATTTGAAATAATAGTAATAGATACTATAAATAAGATAGCATACTGTACCTATTTAGAACTAGCATTTTTATTCATCAATGAACTTTATAAAGACATATTACGCGCATAAACCTCGACAACTCCATCTAAATGACATGGGTCGAATTATGTCAAAAAAATCTGAACCTCCCTTTCAGGATCGTAAACACATAGAAGTGATTAAGCTCATGTTTCTTGAAAAACGTTGTTCTAAATAAACATACCTCTACAATAATATTAAAAAGAGGAAATATTTATATCTTTGTAACTAATAAACTAAAAAAATACTAGACCGATATACAAAGAAATCATCAGTATAATGCTACATTATTCTAGAATAATTATATAAAATATTTATTTACAATTTAAGTATATTTTATCGCGTTAAAGTAAAGCTAACCCGAGCAAAGGCGGATGGATCGGTAGTAATACATACAGGGTGGCCGGGGAGTTGACGTTCAAGCATAAAATTTAGATACTTTATGATGAGGAGTATCGAAATCACCCCCATGTATGTTCTACGATTTTGCGTAGTTTTCGAATTATAATTTTTTTAATGATTTTTTCGTAATTTTCACCTAACATCAGTTTTCGATTTTTTTCTCATTCTGTTGCACGTTTTTGGTTCAGTTTTTTTGTGATAACTGACTAACATAGTCTAACCTAGCACCCTAAAACTTATGGTTTATCTAGGCATTGCAGAATTTACTTAGAATTTGTTCGAAAGTTCAAAATTACGATTTGAGCTCAGTACACCCAAATTAACAAAGTATCAAAAAAAATGTAAATGGGGGGATTTTAAGTTCAAAGTGCTTTTAGAAACTTCCTGAAACATTCAACTATAAAACAAGGCCAAATAAAGATAGGGTTAATACGGGTTTATTTTCTGTAACTGACCTTCAAAGTAAATTAAGGCATTTTTCAAGGAAAAAAAATAATTATTTTCTTTTATTTAAATCTTTGCCTATCTCACAGTTATGATGGATTTGAGTAAAACACAGTTGTTAATGACCTAAATTCTACTACTACTTACTTACATGTGTTTACTTACTCGTCTTGTTCTGCCGTTTTTTCTCGACCACTATTTGCCTACTGATACCGCCGCTGCTTACTTGTTTGACCCCTGCTTGTTACTGGATTCCGTAGTGCCTAACGATTTGGACTGTAGTTTCTTGGAAGTGTTAGTGATGCCCTACACTCTGAGTGAATATGCAGAAATGCATTATTTCTACGGCGTTACACAAGGCAACGGTCGTGAAGCAGCAAGACTCTACAGGGATCAACTTCAACGCCGAGGCGGAGCGCAACCTGATCATTACCCTGACTATCGTGTGTTCATTAATACTAACAATACGTTAATGGCAGGCCGCATTCCTGGCCAACGTGGCGGTGAAGGCATTCAGAGGGTTGATCAGGAATGCAGGGAAATAGTACTGGAAGAAGTGCAACGTAATAGTAGTACAAGTACGAGAGCATTAGCTCGTAACCTTGACATACCAAGATCTTCAATCGTCTTTATCGCAAAATATCCTATATATTTTGCGTGAGGAATCATATCACGTCTACCACATACAAAAAGTACAAGCGTTGTAGCCTTCAGATTATCAATTGAGAGTCGAGTTCTGTAGAACTATGTTGCAGAAAGAGGAAGAAGATCTCGGATACTTTAATAAAATCTTGTGGACCGACGAGTCAAGATTTGAGCGAACTGGGGTTTTTAATATCCACAATTTTCACATTTGGGCCGTTGAAAATCCTTATGCCGCCAGACCATCATCATTATAACATCGTTTTAGCGTTGACATGTGGTCTGGTGTTTTGAATGGCGAATTATTAGGCGCATTTGAACTGCCATCGAGATTAGACGGCGACACATACAAAAGTTTTTTAGAAGACAATCTACCCATATTACTGGAAGATGTAAATCTTGAATTAAGAAGAACGATGGTGTTCCAGAACGACGGGGCGCCGTGTCATTACGCGACACAAGTGCGTCGCCATTTAGACCAGACCTACCCCAACAGGTGGATCGGACGACGAGGGATTGCCTGGCCACCACGCTCGCCTGACCTCAACCCTATTGATTTTTTTATCTGGGCTACTTTAAAGAAATTGCGTACGCCAGAGAAGCTTCGAGTGAAGAAGAACTGAGAGCAAAAATTCGCGAAGCTGAAACCACTGTGAAAAATAACCGTGAAGCTTTTAGGCACCTAAAACATAATTTTTTGCGCAGATGTAGATTGTGTATTTCTGTGGGAGGGCAAAATTTTGAAAATTTTCTTTAATGTATTCTGTTCACAATTAACTGCGTTTTACTCAAATCCATCATAACTCATAGAAAGTCAAAGATTAAAATAAAATAAAATAATTCCTTTGAAAATGCCCTAATTTACTTTGAAGGTCAGTTACAGAAAATAAATCCCCATTAACCCTTTCTTTATTTGGCCTTGTTTGAAAGTTTAATGTCTCAGGAAGTTTCTGAAAGCACTTTGAACTTAAAATCCCCACATTTACATTTTTTTTGATACTTTGAAAATTTGTGTGTACTGAGCTCAAATCGTAATTTTGAACTATCGAACAAATTCTAAGTGAATTCTAGATAAACCATAAGTTTTAGGGTAATAGGTTAGACTATGTTAGTCAGTTATTACAAAAAAAACTGAACCAGAAACGTCCAACAGACTGAGAAAAAAATCGAAAACGGATGTTAGGTGAAAATTACGAAAAAAATCATTAAAAAAATTATAACTCGAAAACTACGCAAAATCGTAGAACATACATGGGGGTGATTTGGATACTCCTCATCATAAAGTATCTAAATTTTACGCTTGTACGTCAACTCCCCGGCCACCCTGTATATAGGAATATTTTTGGTTAATAATTTCAGTACTCATGAGGTTTCGAAGATGTAAACGTAGTCTTATACAAAAATTTACAATAGAAGTGAAACTTTTATTAAAACACCATATTTGTTTTCTTTTATCTTAAGCATGTCGCATATTTTTTTTATTTCATTAATAAAATCAGAACTATTCAGAACTTATCAACAAGCATCGGCGTTTCAGTAGTGGAATGCTATCTGCTACGCGGGCGGCCCAGGTTCGATCCACAGCCGAGGAAGCAGTTTTTAATCATTTTAAAAGTTTCACTTGCATCGAGGTTTCATGTAACCACACATTTTTTTTGTAAATATTTATCTTTTTACCTTTTTTTCCTGGTGATGTGCAGTTGCTCTTGTTGGAAGGGGATTTGGTTTCAGCTGCCGCCATTTTCTCTTTTTCGGATGCCATTTTAACACGCTATATGTACACACGCCAAAGACAATTTATTCACGCGGGTAGTGCACCGCCACTCATTACTGTCTTTGGGATTAAAAAAAACCAAAATGTATAAAATGCGCGAACGCGACCGCGCCCAAGGACTTCATGAAGATTATGGATAATGAACGATGACAGATTTCCAATGACTAAATATTGGCAAATATCCAACCAACACTTTATTGACTTTTACTCATTACAAAAACTTATAATGGCCGTAAAAACTAATACGGACGCATCGGCTTTGTGTGGACTGGTCCGCCCGTAACCGTGTGCTGTAGTGGGTTTTCTTATATTTGTCATCTGTTGATGAGGTTCGATGTTTTTATTAATGCTTTGGTTCGTGATGTGTTAATAGGGTGTGTTCACGATGCTCATGAGCCGTGACTTGGTTTGTTCATATCTCTGTTTGATGTCAATGATTCTAGTGTCAACTGTTATCTATACCTAAGCTAATTGCGTTAATTACTGTTAATCAGTGAGTAATTTAAGCGTTATAATTAACAACTGCCCTCTAAGGTCACTGTGTAACTTTTTTTTTCATTATATAAGTAATAAAAAGGATAATAACTAAATAACAAGTAACTTACATCGTATGTCTTTTCTGTCAAATATTAAAATACTGTGTTGTGAAAATCTCATGTTTATTTTAACGCTAGTTAAAATTCTCAATGTTCGTTAAGCCTCTTCAGTGATATAATTTAAAAGTAACGTGAACTTATTTGATTGTTCTGTGACAAAAACAAAGATATAGTTAGATCGACAAATATCTAATGAAACCTTCGTGAATCCCGAAGTTACGAGTGAAGCTTTTAATAATAAGTTGAGTGTTAATAATTGAATCCCAAAACTATTCAGTTGTTAGAATTGAACTTTTTTTATTCATAATTCCAGTGTATTCCTTGGAAATAAACATGGTCGGTATGCATGTTAAATTACCTTTTAACCACCAGAAATATTAAAATTTTAATAGGTTGCTAGGTCTTAATAGTTTACAGATTACCTATCTTGGTGTAATTAATTAAGAACGAGATCATGCCAATATTTTGACAATGGTAAGAAAGCCAAAAAAGAAGAACAATTTGAAACAAAATAAAGCTTTTCGTTATAAAAAAGAATGATAACTATGGAAGGAAATGAAACATAACTTAATTTGTGGAAAAATATTGCGACGTTGAGGCCTTCACATCTGATTAGGCTTCTGAATTTCACGTCACACCAATTTTCACGTTGGGAGTAACATGATTTTATGGCGTAAATAGATTAAATGACTCGGATTTGCTCCATCTATCGAAAGTTATACATATTGCAAACCTTCAAATAAAGTGCTTAAACCTTAAATAAAACTAGTTTTAACGGGTTTATGCACGAAACTTTATTTATTTATTGACGTTTCGCAGCCTTTTCAGGTCTGCTTCGTCAGAATACTTTAAAAAAAACAGTACAAAAAATGAGTGATGTGCGTGAAAACCTAAGAAACAAATATGCTTAAACCTTTTTTACTACATGTTTGACAAGTTTAATACCTACGCGAGAAAGAAAATTGCAAGGAGGACTAATATATCATAAATTGGGTGATCAAAATTAATTATTTATAAGCGAATTTATTTTTAAAATAATCTTGTTTTATCTATAAAGGGAATACAGAAAAATCTTTTTACTTTAGTTTTCATACCGTTTGTATTCACATTACTTAAACGTGAAAATAGTAGCATAAGTACCTATAAGGTATTAGGTATAAATACCAATTCTTATGATTTAAAAATTTTATATGATTGATTTAAAGAAAGCCATCATCATATCATAATGGCTTTCTTTAAATCCATATAAATTATATAACTATGAAGTCTCGTATCTACATATACCTTCATAAAAAGATATTAAGAACAAAGTGTCTTCACATTGTTTTAGAAAAATAGTGACAAAAATTACAAAAAACATATTTTAATCAAACGGATGGACGAAGTTTAAGAGTCAAAATTAAAGTCAGTTTCAACGCATTGTTAAAATTTCCGCCGGCTTAGCTCCTCACAACAAAGGCTTTGTCATTTTTGCTACTGCTAAACCTGGTCGACATGCAAACTTAAAATCTTATTATAACAACATAAGTAATCATTACTCTAATGGGACTGCGGCTACGAAATTCATTGATAATAACTAAACTTTTTTCGTTATTTTTAATTAGGTCATTGTTAATTGGACCGGAGAATGAATTTTTTGTAAGTTTTAAATAAAGACAGGTGTTATTGTAATTTTCTATTTCAAGCAATGAATGACTTTAGAATAATCTAAAGTGGCTTTGAATCATATTTACGAGTAAGCCTACACATTTCTACACTGATAAATCTCCACTGTCTCCCCACTCACAAACAAAAGAAACACTAGTGGTTAAAACAAGATTTTTTCTACAAAAAAGCTTCTAAATGAAATATATATTATGGACTGATTTTGCTTGAGTTCGAACCGTTCTATATTTGGTCGGACTTGGTCGAACTTGACATTGTTTTGTGTTTAACAAAACGTGTGAACATGAAAAGAAGGGTCGCAATAATTATGAATTAATGATCGCTACTATTTCGGACGTCGAAGGTTATGTGTGCAGGGGCAGTGGTGATACTGGTGGCTCGATCTGGAGAGCTCGGCCGCCGTTAACTGGATGTATACACTGTCGCATGCCATCGACACATAACCTGCGTTACGTGAGCACTGATGCACTAGGAGGCGCGTGTTACTAGATGGACCTTGGGTCAGCAGTCGCGCTCGGACGCGGTCAGCTCGCGTGCGGCGCGTTCGCGCGCGTTGCCCGTCGGAGGCTGGGATCGATGCGGGCGGCGGGCGGCGGCGGAGTGCAGCTCGGGACCGGGGAGGCTGCGCCGCCCTGCCCCCGCCGCGCACGCGCGCTCAGCTCGCCGCTGCCGCCGCCGCCGGACCCGACGCAGCCATCGCCGCCAACGCCGCCGCCGCGCCGCGCCGACGCGCCGCCACTTTCTTACAGTTCTCTCATCTCGTACTGATTTACGATACACTCACTCTTTCGCTAACGGCGAAAATAAATAGATTTCGACTTAGATGTCCTTAAAAGATTTTCAGAAGGTTTAACCTATTATTTTATATTAATTAGAGGTCCAGAAAATTTAAATACAAGATATGGGATGACCTGATAAAACTTTGGCCCAGTTTCTCAATCTATTTGTTTCACATTAGGTATTACAGTTTTTTATTGGACTGCAATATTGCAATTCGCCAGGTGTTTTGTAAACAATTTTCCTGATACATATGGTACAGGTATTTTTTATTATGAATTTATGTTTCTCCTTTATCCTTTCTATAAAGTTGAAATAAGATCTCCACTCAAGAGTGCGTAAGTAGAAAGTCGTTATCATGAATTCGTTTCCCTTCTACGATGAAGTACGCACGGGTAATACTATTTATCGTAATACAGGTAGGTGTGGAGGTGCTCAGTGGTTATTTACGCGGTAATGTGGGGGGTAGCTGGGAGTACGCAGCCGTGGAATGGTGCCAAATGTGGGCCGATGACTCCCGGCCGATAGCCGCGTGTCTTATCGGCTCATATTAGAGGGAGCGGATACTCGATGGTTGAGCACAGAATTGTTTGCGATGCGTTTTATTGAGACGCTGTGCTGTTAGAGAGATGTTTATCTATGTAAAAAAGGAAAATAATTAAAAATGGTCACATTACAATGATGGAATGTATATTTAAAGAAAACGAAATATTTCTATTATGTATTAAAAAAGATTTAATTTTGAGTGACATACTTAACACCTTCTTCTCAGCACTGACCGTTTATTGTCCCGAAGCAGGTGTAAGAATAAAGTAATACTAGGACGTGTATAAGCGCTTATTATAGCCTAATTGCAAAAAATAAATGACTTTTAAGACAAATCTTCTTATTCTTCATAAGCCCCGGTTTACCTATTTTCGGGTATAGGCCTCGTTATGATCTCTCTACACGACTCGATTCCTCACAACGCGCACCCAGGTCTTGCCCGCCATTTGGCGATGTCATTGGTACAGTTTGTAGGTTGCCTTTCCCCTTTCCTTCGACCAGTTCTTGGTCTCTTCTCGACAATCTTACGAGTCTATCCGCCGTTACCTTTCCTGCTCAAGAGACCTGTCCACCCTGGCTGCCATTTCAATCTGGCCACTACTATACTTATATGCACAACAATTATATCAGTGTGGGTGTGTGTCTTCAAATTTGATATAGTTTTATTCAATTAAAAAAACAACAGTTTTTCATTACAGGATTAATATCACATAGCGTTTTACAAATAAAAAAGGTTTTACATAACATCCGACCGAGTAGAATATAATACGAGGAGCTCGATGGCGCAGGTGGTTAGCGCGTTCGGCTGTGATCGTTGAATTTAAGCAACTTTCGCAGTGGTTGGTCATTGGATGGGTGACCAAAAAATCTTCTATCTCGAGCTCCTCCGTGCTTCGGAAGGCACGTTAAGCCGTTGGTCCCGGCTGCATCTGCAGTCGTTAGCACCCACCAATCCGCACTGGGCCCGCGTGGTGGGTCATGGCCCAATCTCCCTATTCCATCCATAGGGAAGGCCTGTGCCCCCGCAGTGGGGACATTAATAGGCTGATGATGATGATGATGATGATGAGTAGAATATCGACTATTATCGACCGACTAACAAATCTCAGTATTAATACACAATACCACTAAGTATATTAGAAAATATTGATAATATGATAGCTAAGCGCGGCGATGCTAAAATGTAAGAAATGTACAAATCGCTAAATCGATTATAGACAAAAAAGTTCCGGCCAAAGCACAATTATGTAGAATTCAATCAAAACCCTGCATTAAAATACTAGTATAAAGCTTAAACGATACTTGCAATACAAAGAATAAACTTGCAGTGTGAGCTATGCTTAACCTAACTAGAGTATTTACTATAGAAAAATATCTACAATATGAACAGAATTATACTTCTATATATATCAAATGCAACCGTTACCGACTGACTGATCTATCAATGCACAGCTTAAACCACTGAACAGGTTGCGCTGAAATTTGGCACACAAAATTTATTATGGAAAGATTTTCCTAAAATAGAAAGACTTTCTTGACTTAGCAATATCATTTGATGCAGTTTCTGTACCCATCTTGTTGCAAAAGCTAGAATCTTTGGGTATAAGAGGCACCCAGCTTAAATTATTTGAGAACTATCTATGCGAACATACTCAGTGTGTAAAAATAGGTAATGTTTTTAGTTCAGATCTAGACAACACCTGTTATGGGGTTCCTCAGGGAAGTTTTTTAGGCCCTACACTATTTTTGGTGTACATAAATAACCTAGTAATCTGGAAAGTGGCATAATAATTGCTTATGCAGAGTATACTGGTATCGATTCGGGCATAATTCTCTAAACCTAAACTTAAATTTGACAACAGTGTATCCTTGTCATTATCTATATAGGATGAAAAGGAGAGACGGATATTAAATTTAGTTTTAAGTTTAGAGAATCATGCCAGAATCGACACCATCGTCTTACTATTTTCTGCAAGTTCTGACGTAGAAGTTGACAAATGTACACAAAAAGGCTTCAACATTGTAAACAACTTACACTTAACTCCGACAAAACTAAATATATCAGATTTAGAATCCGCAAAGCCATGACTGCTCCAATAAGCAGAATATTGTATGTTCATTTTTGTTAAGACCCTACCAAATGCTAGAGTCAGTGTCCCAGTTGTCGATAGTAGGAATCAAATTAAATATGTGGGTGTAATCATTCACGAAAATCTCTCATTTAACCGGCCTATTAATGCATTGAGCAATAGAGCAAATTAATATTTGTTTTTAAAAACTACGCGTTATTGCATATTTAAAATTAATAAAACAAGTGTACTTTGCTTTGTGTCAGTCTATACTAACTTATTGCATTATATCTTGGGGTGGTACATTTAAAACTTTAGTATTAAGTCTTAAGAGAGTCCAGAGAGACGTATTAAAGGTTTCCTTCGATTTCTGTATCATACTAATATTATTTATAAGTACTGTAAAGTATTAACTGTCAAAATAACATGCCGCACTCCCATTTCATATTGACACTATTAACAAAAGACGGAAAGATATAGTTTGCCCGCAAAGTATTTTACAAAGCATAGCTTCACTTCCAGATTTTATTTATTCCAAGGACCATTTTTATACAACCGATTAAATGTTAAATATATAATCTAAACTAAATTATAAACATGCCAAACTTATTATTCGCGATGCCTTATTAAGAATGTCCCACGATGATACAGAGATGTTGATGTCCTTTTCAAAATAAATGGTACCTTTATCTTAGAGTAATTTTTAATTTATGGTATATAATACTGCTAACTTTATTTAATTATTGTTTCGGTTTTATATATCAAATTATATTTTTGATTATTTTATATATATGTATATATAAAACACACCCCCGTGTTTCAGGCAAAGTTTGTATGGAGCACCAAGATCACGAAGTTAAAAAGAAGTTTTGTAGAGTTTTTTTTATTTACTGAGTTCGACATTCATTCATTCAGTTAAAATCAAATCTAAGGCGATGCCGTGGGTAGTTAATATAAAAATTATACCAAATCTAAAAAGCAAAAGATTTAGACTGTCTTCAGTGATTTCCCTAAACTACATCTCAGTGTCACTAAGTTTAGTAACTTATATAATAATGTAGAATTACCTTGCATTAATAGGCTGGAAAAATGAAGTTCGGTCCGGTATAGACTACCGATACAGCCCATCTTTACACTATAGTATCGTCAGGTGAGTTGGTGTTTTAAGGGATTGCTATGGTTAAACTACCTTTTTTTAGATATACATAGCATATTTAGATTATTCATCGTTCATTTACTGACTACTCACGAAATCTCGATAGCTAGCAGACGTCAGCAAAGTAAAGATTTCAGGAATCATACCATCACCTTAAGGATGCAGAACAGCGGTGAATGTTTGTATGGAACTTCATCAGTTTTAAATCAGGCGATGACTGCGGCTGCGGCATAACAATGGGAGTTTATCTATACCTATAAAAACCGGCCAAGTGTATGTCGTGCCACGTGCAGTGTAGGGTTCCATAGTTGCCTGTCGTGACCACAATATATTTGAGCAGCAGTCTTTATTTTCTGTATCTGATATCAAAAAAAAAATAATAAAAAAATGTCTAACTATGTTTCTCAACTAAAATACCTAAATCAAAGTCAAACTGCGTCTCAAACTCAAAATCAATTCGATATTATTTTTTTTTTAAATAGAAATGATAACCGCCAATCTTTTGAAGTGCTTACTCTTTATTAAAAACCTAACGATAGCGCGTTTTAGAATCTGTTGCCGTGGGTACCCGCGGCAGCTATGTAGAAGTAATGATATTTATTGTAGTTTTTAAATAGTTTTTTTTGAGATTTGTGTTTGAATGTAAGTTTTTATGCTAAAATAACTTCATCTATCTTAAGCCATGGACTTATAAAAAAGGCGGACAGAGTCCCGGTAAACAATAAACTGTGTCGCTCAGAGTCAGCCAGGTCGCTGTACGTACAAGCCGGCACGCACACATTCACACATTAGTCAGCCACTACGCGTGCAAACGTCAAAGCAGCCGACACGTTACGTGGAGATAAAAATAAAGCTAAACAAGATATATTGCTTGTATAAAGGCGTAAAAACCGTAGTGACCGAAAGAAATAAAATCCAGGAATCACGTTTCATAGGTAAATGAATAATTTAATCACTTTTTTCTAGTTTTTAGAAATCGAAATCAATTTTAATTCTACGGACAAAATGATTAGTCTAAAGTCCAGTGTTGCCAATGTTCATGTAACC